TTGACGAATAATTGATCGATTGCGTTGAATTGATCGTTTGCAAGAGGTGAATAGACGATCGTAAATATATGGCGAATAACTAATCATGTGCACGTGACGAATAAGTGATCGCTTGCCCGTGGCGAATAATTAATCGTATGTGGCGGCGAATAATTAATCGTGTGCATGTGGCGAACAAGTTATCGGTCGCATGTGGCGAATAAGTGATCGTTTTCTTGTGACGAAAAAATTATCTGTATGATTGATATAGCCTGCATGTGACTGATCGTTTGCATCTGGTGAATGTCGTATGTATGTCGTGTATGTGAGGCTCCGCTAATTTTGTTTATAGAGACCCAATCTACATGCGGTGGACGACGTCTGAGTTGACCATCCTTTGGTGCGGAATTAAGATTTGAAGTCACCATCAAAATGAGGGCACCATCACATGAGGGCAAAAAGTGCTCATTTCCTTACATGAATTAAGAACACATTTTAAAAAATCAGTATAGCACATCCAATCATTTTACTCAGCTTGGAAACTATTTAGCCCTCTTTTCGATCAATATTTAGGTAATGCATTTATATGAAAATTTATTCTATGTTTTATCTATCCGAAAATCAGTCTACGGCTTTCTACAAAAAAAATCTGAGCTGAGAATTAGACTTTCCTCAGTCGGTCTCACAGAGCATTAATTACTGTTAGAAGAAATGCAGTAATGAAGGTTTGATCAATGCTTTTATACTCGTTCGATGTTTTATGAAAATTTGTGACAAATTCTGCACAAAATTCCAAATTGTCATAGTCAGATAATGTGTGGGTCGTTTTTAAATTTATATGCAAAGTCAATTATTCTTCTTTAGATTAGGAAATGACGGATTCGTTGTAACTTGTCATATGAACTAAGCATTTAAATAAAAGAAAACGCCAAAAAATTCATTTTGTCTGCAGTGAAAACTTATCGGAGTGCTACTTTCCAGGTGCTACCTCAAGATCCCGAATAAATTTATCGAAGTGAAACTTTAAACGCGTGCTGCGTCTAAGCTTTACCAGGATTTCTAAGTAGAAGCCGAGCCAATTGCCACAACCAAACATGATTGAGGCTGCATCTTTCCATCACAGAAGACCCGGTGCGGTACTCAATAGTAGCTCTATCGTCCTCTTAGATAATATAAATATTAGAAATGATACATGAACGTGCATTGATGTATACCAGGGGTCTCCAAACTATGGCCCGCGGGCCACATCCGGATCTTCCATAATTTCACCCGGCCCGCCGGACGAAGTCGTGAAATTAATAAATAATTATTTTATGAATTGCATCGCATAATTATTCAAAGCTTGGGCCTGCTGACTGGTGGCGCTCAGCCCGAGTCAGATTTCCTCTCTCTCTCGAAAGTGTGACGTACAGATACTAGTACTGGTAGTGGTAGATATGTGTTGTGCATTACAACCAATCAGTTGTGTATAACTGTACGTATATTGTGAGGATGGAGGCCGAGTTGGGCTTCACTGCTTCTGTTTCAGGAGCACAGCTCTTTCATAATCCATTTGACTGCAATACTGAATATCTTCTAACTCAGTTTCAAATTGAAATTATTGATCTCCGGACAGATGACAGACTGAAGAATAATTGTAAAGAAGGAAATCTGATTGAGTTTTATAAATGCCTACAGCCAGATCAGTTTCCAAATTTGATAAAGTTTGCTTGCAGTTTTGGTTCCATTTTTGGTTCAACATACCTTGTGTAAACAAACATTTCCCAAAATGAAGGGTATTATTGCAGATTAACTACATCCAAAAAAAGGGTGTTTTTTTTTTAATTATATGTTTTTTGGGGTGTAGATTACGAATCTGAAATCCATTTGGTATTATTGCAGATTAACTACATCCAAAAAAAAGGGTGTTTTTTTTTTAATTATATGTTTTTTGGGGTGTAGATTACGAATCTGAAATCCATTTTTGGCGGTCGGCATCGGAAAACCGATTTTTTGCAATAATACCGATCTAAAGGTGAGTGGGTAACGTAAGTTACGTAACCCCCATGTTAGTAAGTCGCGAAAAAAATCGGTTTTCCGATGCCGACCGCCAAAAATGGATTTCAGATTCGTAATCTACACCCCAAAAAACATATAATTAAAAAAAAAACACCCTTTTTTTGGATGTAGTTAATCTGCAATAATACCAAATGAAGTATATGAAATCTAAATATAGAGCAAATTTTCTGATGATAACTCGAAATAAATTCTTACAACTGGCTCATCTAATCTGGAACCGGATTTTAATGAATTTTTGAAGTCAAAACGACAGCATCATTCGATAGGCATCAAGACAGGCATATATTTAGTTTCCCCCGATTTCTTCCAAAAAGATATGTTTTAATATTTCTATGTTTATACTTTATTATTTGAGTAAATAAAATTGCTGGCACTGATTTTTTTTATTCCTTTGGCCCGCGTGTATATGAGAAATATATAATGTGGCCCGCTCATTGAAAAGTTTGTAGACCCCTGATGTATACAATGGCAAGTGCTGATCCTAGGCTATCAAAGTTCGTTGATGCATCATTGCAAAACAACGACATCATTGATGCATCATCGCAAAACAAACTGCGACATTGACAAATATATACGGCAAACTGTATCAGTGTTTCCCAAAGTGGGCGATATCGCCCCCCTAGGGGTGGTGGAAAGATTTGGGATTTTGGGGGGGCGGTAAGGAAGAAGAGGGCGGTAGGGGGCGGTAGTCCGAAGTCGAAGTCAGAAGTTCGAACGTTTGTTTGGCGATTTGTAGGGTACGGCCGGTACGCATCCGTGCGCCACCAAATTTGTGCACCAATCAGCCTTGAAAGGAACACCTAGCATATTTCCGGATGACCACCAATCAGCTGCGGATTAAACCATCCGTCGGTAACCAACCCGTGACATCATCTTGCTTTAAATATTAGGAGCTTTACGCCACCACATTCTGAAGCGAATAGCCCAGAGCGTAATGGTTATGCACCACTGAACGTTGTTGCATCGAATCATCACTTCATACCCAGACTTTAGCGCGAACTGTAACTTGCGGACAACGGTCTGCGACCAACCAGCCCAGGTCGCCAGTGGAACTGCATGCATCCCTGCCATGCACCACCAGACCATCACTTTTGGTCACCATTCAACATCCAGGGTTAGGTTTCAGAAAGCATTGTTCTGTTCCAAACTTTATCGTCCGCAAGTGAGTGACTTCCGCAGCTTCGCTAAATTACGTAACTTTTAGCTCCCTGCATCTGGGGTTAGGTTCCAGATAGCATAGTTCTGTTCCAAAATTTATCGTCGTACGACGCGTGGCTGTTCGACCGTGGGCTGATTCGACGCACAGCCGGCACAGGACAGATACGGACGGCTTCGACGCGCTCCATCCGGGTGGTGTGGAATTTTTTAGCGTGTTGGCAACTTGGCAGACAACGCTGGGCCATACGACGCCAGGCTTATTTTCCTGTGGGCTGTTTGATCTAATTCAATGGATGTGATCAAAAAGTTGGAGATTGAGGGATTACAGTTTGAGAGATGTGAGAAAAATTCCTGAGGTCAGCAAAACCACAATTGACAAAATTTTGACTGAACATATAGGCTATTCAAAGTCTGCCCAAGATGGGTACTGGGTTGCAAAAAAGATCACATCAGAACACCAGCGGCAGCAAGCGTTGTTTAGGCAGGCAGTGGCAGCGGGCATCCCTGCAGCTGCATGGGCATCAGTTCGGAAATTTTTCAAGTCCCTGACCTATCTATGCACCATCCTGGAGCTTGTACACTCTTCATCAAACACCTTCCTCTGTTGCCTAGCCGCGCATAGAAACAATCCCAGCGCCAGTGGGCTGGATTTGGATTTGGATTTGGGGCGTGGTGACTCTGAGAGAAAGAATTTCAGGGTCAGGCCTTTGCAACGGCCATCAGCCACGCATCACATTTTCATTTGTTAGTAAGAAGAAGGAAGGGAGACCAAGCCAGGTGGAAGCAACATTAAAGAGAAGAGGCTAGAAGAGGTGTGACAGTTTGTGTTAAGGTTGAGAAGTAATCAAGGNGTGTATAGGCTGAAGAGAAGTGGAGACAGGATACATCCTTGTCGAACACCCCTCACGCACTTCACCCAGTCAGTCTCCACATCTCCAAGCCTATATTTAGCACGAGTGTTCACATACATACTTTCAACTATCCTCACATACTTTTCACTCATACCAATTTTTTTCAATATCTGGCACAACAATTTTCTGTCAACTCTATCATATGCCTTTTCTATGTCTATGAACGCCAAGTACACTCTCTTTCCATCTCTCTTCATTCTTTCAATCAATTCATTCACAACAAATATGTTATCTTCTGCTCTTCTGTCACACCTGAAACCATTCTGTTCCTCACCAAGTACTCTTTCACGCTCCATACATATTTGCATTCGCTCAGCCCTTGGCAGTGGCAGCCCTTGGAACTTATTTTTAAAAGCCACCTTGTAATATTCAATTAATAGCAATAATAATAATATCACTTGATTCTCCAAAGCAATACTAATGCAATTCTATATTGACAAAGTCATTTAAGTTGTGTGTGTGCCATTCAGATTTGTTTGTCATTAGCAGTTTTATATTTTACATTCAGATTCATTTGGCATTCAATTGTTTGGAATCTTGATTAATTTTAACTAACTGATACCATGCACATATGTGGATAGATAATGTAACAAGTAGATGGCACTGCAGTTCTATTCTTCTGTTCTTTCAAAATTTTCCATGATATATAAACTAGTTTAGTGTTTCTGGAGAAGCAGTAAAAAATCAGAATACTAAACTTCATTGGTGCTTCTTTATTAAGGCTTTGTTATCTTTTAAACTGCATAGTCTGCATTGGCTTATTTCCATGTAATTCTCTATGATATCAAAATTGTGTGGGTATAAATAAAGTGTTCACGTGCATGTCTGGTTTGATAAACTGACCCAAATTCATTGGAATGTGTTTTTTTTTTCTATAAGGAATTGAAGAACTTTGCATCATGCTCCAATTGTTAATAATTTCACTTGCAGATACTAATTGCCTCTTATTGAATTTTTCAAAAAATTTTCCAGTATAATAAAGTTGCAATTGGCCTCAACCCTGCACAATCTCCTCAGTGCTATAATGAATAGATTACGCGAGTGCAGAGTTATGATACACAAACTAGAGGAGGGAAGTTGGAAAACTGAGCAGAGCCTTACTCATGGATCTGCTTTTGATGGTCAGCTTAAGTCTTCAGGTAAGCTGCAAATTCAAGGTTAGACCTATCACTTCCAATGATATGAAAACAATAAATAGTTATCATAAGGTTATTAATTTTTCACCTGGAATATATCAAATATAACTGTTGGGGCAGCATTTTGTGCAGTAATGAGGTTGAAAGTTGTTTATCATTTGCTAATGTTGAGATACTATCTGTTGTTGACATTATCACAATGTTGATTCAATTGGAACCCATACAGCCAGGGAGGCCAGGGATGCCACTGACTCATCTTCAGTCCCTCTCCCTGAAATAGGATCTGTTTACATCAAGAACGATCCTGGAGATGAGAATGAATTCTTTTCTGTGAAGCAGGAACCAATTGACATTTTCAGAAATGAGGTAAAGATCTGTATACCTACTAAAATTATTTAAGCAACCATAATTAAGTGCATACGGTATATTAACTTACAACACTTATATTCTCCAAATGGTCTAGAACATGATTAATTGTACTGCAAAATTTTCATGTTCTTAGTTTAACTTAACAGGCCATTATTAACATTAACAGGCCATGGGCCTATTTCTTCAGTGCCGACACTTCTATTCTATTCTAATAAGTGTGATTTTCCAAGAGTGCTCAGGGAATGTATATAAATACTTGAAGTTTTGTTGAGAATGATATATTTTGTATAGTATGGCTGTTCAAACATGGAACCCGCGTCTCTCTGCGCCAGTCTTTGTACTCTGGGCTAGCAGAACTGTAACAACTGGGCCTCCCTGTAGTTAGTTTCTTCCAAATTAGAGTGAATGATTTGATTTATTGATTTATAGTTCCATTATATAGCTTTATTACTGATTTGCAGTTATGTATTTAAAAAAGACTAGAGCATATTAATTTTGAGTTTGATATAATTGTTCATGACTAATTCTGGCATCCAGCAAACACCACCTCCACCATCTTGTGCGCCCTGCAAGAAGGAAGCTCAGGACCCTGGCCAATGTACCCCACAAAACATTGTTAATGTCTCTAAAGAACTGCAGCAGGTTGGTCATGCTTAGTATTGTGATCTCATATTGGAGTTTAAAGTGCATTTTGAGAAATTTCCATTCAATAGTATGTAAGCATTCAGGCAGTGATTTTGAAGACTATTTTTTTTCAATTTTGTTAATAATTAATATGCAAGTCTAATTTCTTGTGATGTTTAGCTCATGTTAATTTGTTTAGAATAATGTTTTACTCAGTAAACCTAATCATTGCTGAGGCTTTAGTTTCATGTTTTAAATAAAGGTGAATTTGAAACCAAATCCATGAACTTTTCACAGGGAAACTATTTAATATTCGAATTGTCTAGAATGGGGGCAGGGTATACGTTGGGGTTAATGGATAAAAGTGGTTGTTTTCTATAAATAATATTGAGAGATAATATTTGTTCCACCTATTCCACATTAAAATGGTCATGTATAATCTTCATATGTTGATTCATTTATATAGGAGCAGAATGCACTGAATACTGTTTCATATTAGATTTATATTAATTTGTGGTGTCTTTAAAGAGTTTTTCTATTCATGACCTCATTCATACTTGCTCACAATATTGTCTTTTATGCATGGAGGCACACTGTTTACATTTATGGTATGAGCATCTAAACTGGATGTGAATAATTGTAACCAAGTACTGGTATTGATATTTTTATTATCTTTTGACCAATATTGTATACTTTAGAATCATGTACTTAACTGTATTTTTCTAGCACACAAGTTATTGTTTTGACTTTGTCTTCAGGGCATGGAAAGAAAGTTGCCTTTACCTGAGGGAGCTCCAGAAGACATTGTTGACAGTTGCAACATCTCTGCAGCATCCACTTCTAAGCAACACAAACCGACACTTGTCCTTTCCCGCCCTGAATTTGCTGGGATTGAACATGCAACCCAACAGCATCAGGATCTACCAGATGAGCCTTCATCCTCAAGCATACACTCATGCCCCTACTGTGAATATTGTTGCAGTGCACAACAGGAACTTTTGAAACATATTCGTGCTAAACATTCATCAGACAGAAGATATAGTTGCTCTGAGTGTGAATTTGTTTGTTCCATAAAGCGACTTCTCAGATATCACATTATATCCAAGCATTCATCGCAGAAAACTTTTTGCTGTCTCAAGTGTGATTATTCTTGTGTCACTCAGCGGCAACTAAAGCATCATGTTCTTTCCACGCATTCATTAGAAAAAACTCTTTGCTGCCTTAAGTGTGACTTTTCTTGTGTTTCTAAACTGCAGCTAAATCGTCATATTCTTTCCTCACATTCATTGGAGAAAAATCTAAGCTGCTTGGAGTGTGAATATTCTTGTGCTACCAAACAACAACTAAAGCATCATACATTTGCCAAGCATTCATCCATGAAGCCATATAGTTGCTCAAAGTGTGAATATTCTTGCGTCACTAAACGGCACCTGAATCTTCATGTTCTTTCCAAACATGCATTTGAGAAACCTTTCAGGTGCTCAGATTGTGAATATTGTTGTGTCACCAAACAGCATCTAGATTATCATGTTGTATCCAAGCATTCATTGGAGAGACCTTTCAGTTGCTCTGAGTGCGAATATTCATGCATTACTAAAGGCAACCTAAAACAACATATCCTTCAGAAGCATTCATCAAGCAAACCTTTCAGATGCACTAAGTGTGAATATTCCTGCAACACTAAAAGCAATCTAAAACAGCATATCCTTCAGAAGCATTCATCGAGTAAACCTTTCATGTGCACTTATTGTGAATATTCTTGTGCCATCAAATCTAATATCAATCGTCATATTCTTTTTAAGCATTCATTGAAAAAACCTTTCTGCTGCTTGAATTGTGAATTTTCTGGTGTAACTAAACAGCAACTAAATTATCATATTCTTTCTAAACATTCTTCAGTTAAGCCTCTCAGATGCTCTCAGTGTGACTATTCTTGCCTTAGTGAAAACAGTCTAAAAGTGCACAGTCTTCATAAGCATTCATCAGAGAGACCTCTCAGCTGCCCGAAGTGTGATTATTCATGTGTCACTAAATCCGATCTAACAAAACATCTTCTTGTGAAGCATTCATCGGTGAAGCCTTTAAGCTGCTCGGAGTGTGAATTTTCCTGTGTCACTAAACAGCAACTGAATTATCATACTTTATCCAAGCATTCTTCAGCAAAGCCTCTCAGTTGTTCGGAGTGTGAATATTTATGCATCACTAAAAGCGATCTAAAACGACATATTCTAAAAAAGCATTCCACAGAGCCCCCTGTCAGTTGCTCATAGTGTAAACTTTCTTGTGTTGCTAAATCAGCTCTAAGGAAACACTTTCTTTGTAAGCATTCATTGTTGAAGCCCCCAATTGCTGCTTGTAGTATGAAAATTCTTGCATCACAAAGCAAACCTGAAAATTCCTATTTTTTAAAGTATTTATCATCATTTTACAGTGAGGAACAGACGTTTTGGTCCTCACCAAGCTCGCCCAGTGGGAATTATCATCCCACCTATTCACGCGGCACCTACAATTATATTATAAAATTATATTTTTATATCACGAAGAAACTCAGGAGTACTAGGGTATCTAAGAAATAAATTTAATGATAAAGATCTCATAACACATTCCTCAATTAGTAGATTATTGTGCCCTCGTGACTTGAATTTAAAAATGGGATACATTTCTTTCAAATCCGTGTTTCTTCTACAGTTTCATGTAGTGTTTCCTTCAAATTTCCCCATTTATGATTGACTGCAATGAACCTGTGTTCCACTGTTTTCAAAATTAGGTTGCAGGCTCTGAACTTGCACTTATGAATCTTGCTTAGAGACCTGCATTTGCTTCTAGAGATGCCATAGATGATCATAAATCTATCTTGCAGATGTTCGGTGTGTTATGAGGTTTAAGTTTATTACTAGTTTATTGCATGTATAACGAGTGGATACTATTTGTTCACTAAAACCCTGAAAATAAAATTTGACCACTTGAGCCAGGCTAGAAAAAAGTGTACTGTAAATGAAATTGTCAGCAATTGCTTGACAGTCGCCTTCAGCGACTAATTATCTAACAAACGTCACCCTCAGTGACGCTTTAAAGGATCGTACGTCTTGTCATACGTAGCTTGCGATTCTACGCGGTGGACCGCGATAGCTCTACACGAGTTAGTTGTAGGAGAGACCTCCGAGCGTCCACAGTTAACCTACGCTCAGGCCGTCGATAAGCTTCTCTATCGAGCAGGCCGATTCTTTCCCTCTCCGAGATTGTATCCTCATAGTGCCTATTGTAAAGTCTATAGCAAGTAAACTGTTCTGTATTACTAGACTTTCACTCCTGTTATAGCCAACAAATAGAAGACCCTTGAATCTTCAGGTCCTAATCAGAAATTGACAATACATTAATTAATTCCAATCCACGCTGAAAAGTGGACTTGGACAAAATAAACTACTTTAAGATTTAAAAGCCATTACATTGTGACGTTATAATTTTCGTTATTCTAAAATTAAAATTTTGGCATTGATTTTAGTTTCTTTGTGTAAAATTGACAACAACAACATCAGGGACTGAAGAAAGATGTGTTTAAGCACATTAATTTGAAGTGGAACATATTTCGTAGCCTGCAGACGGCAAAGTCAGAAGCTCCAAATATTTTTCATCCTATTAATGATCTTTGAGAAGCAAGTAAGAAAACGATTCCTCTGCAAGCATCATCATAATTAATCTAGCCTCTTTCTTCCTAAATAATCGCTAAAAATCAGGATGACTGTAAAGGTCTAATGCCGGTTGTTTCGTTGTCTTTTTATGTCAGCACTGTTTCCAGTTTTACCTGAACTCTTGAAAAGGCCTCTTGAAGAAGTGTAGATTTGCAAGTGTAAGAGAAGCTTATAAAAGTGGGTCAATTAGTTGAAATCTGGAACTGTAGAAGAAGATTCTTAATAAAGTGGGTCAAGAAGTAAAGATCTGTAGGTGTAGGGCAAAATTTTCCCAAATGTGGATTTATTCTGGATATAAAAAGTCTCTTTCCATTGATTTTCACTTACTTAAATGTTTGCGTGCATGTATTTGGTCGATGTAAATAACAATCTCGACAGTTCTGCGGTGAAAAATGTTTGCTGACTCTTCGAGAGTGGCGAGTAAATAGGGAAGGAACGGCATTGTCGGTTTATATATCTGCAGATGGATGGTTTAATAGGCAGCGGCAGAAACCTGCTTGCAAAATTTAGATCCTTTTTTTTTTTTTTTTTGCTTAGGCTGCCATAAAATGGTATATGATGTTGTTTTGGAGTTGATAAATGCTGGTCTCCAACACACACTAATTCGTATACCTGTCTGTTTATTCCTTTAAATGTAAAAATTAAATGAATAACATAAAAATTAGTTACTGGTGTCAATCATTGATAATAATCACTATCCTTCCCACTCCTTATGTTACGTAGGTAAGCATGGAGAATAAAACAAGTCTGAGACAGAACAAAAGCGCCATAAAACTGAACTTTTTTAGCGATAGTGATACTAAATTATTGAATGTTTCATTAAATGAGTTTTTAGCAGATGTAATAGTGTTTTGTAGCTATTCCGATATCACGGAGGAGTGGGAGGACGGAACGTCAACTGTCATTCAATCCGAGTGGCGATGAGAGTTAGGTCTCAATAGCCTGTGCGAATGACGTGGAGCCGGATCCCGGTTGTTAACTTGTTATGATCGACTTTGAGGCAGAGACCAGCAGCTGTTAACTTCATTTCCGTTAGTATTATCTTCATGCAATCCCCAAAAGTTTTTTTGGCTTTGCCTGCCGGAAGTTTTATCGATGCTGCTGCTCTATATAGAATACAGTTACAGTCAGGCTGAGTCAGCCTAGGCTGCCTAGCGGCCCATAGTGGCAAACCAGAGCTTTTTTGGAATCAGTTCATTTTTAATTTCCTCAATAACTCAAGATTTAAACTGATTACTTAAGTATGATAATGCTGGTATCCATGATACTTTACTGGTCTACTTATAGGACTCAAAAATGAACTAGAGGGAGAGTCTAAAAAACTCTCTGCTTTGTCACTATAGCCTAGTGCTAGCCTATGCTCAGTCTTTCAGACAGCTCAGTCAAGTCAGTGGTAGTGCATTCTGCAATTGATTTTAGCAACTTCTACAGACTTTCACTTTGCTAGCAAGTTTTCAACTCTTCTGCTGAGTGGCCGGGTGCTAGTCTGGAAAAGTCCTATTTTTGTCTGAAATATCGTGGCTCTAATATCATATAATTTCAGTAGGTATGAAATCTCGTTTGATTTCACAATAAATAGACTTGATTCACATTCCATTCTGAGATTTAAATGATTGAAAGTTTTTTTTTTTAATTATAAAAACCTATTTATACGTTCCAGATTTGAATTTTTTGCCCTATTAAGTTGAATTTATCTTGATAAATTCACTTCAAATTCTGAATGATTTCATCTGCCATAACGCGTTTTCGAACGTTTTGTGTCTTTTAGAAAATTTTCGTTGTTTAACATGGGAAACTATTTCATTATATAAAACATAGAGCACGTACCATATAGTGCATTAATAATACAAATTAATTTTTAATATAAAAAATATAATCACATTTTTAATTCAACATTTTTCTAATAGAATTTAATTCTACAGCATGTACCATCTAGTGTATTAAATAATAAAATTTGATTTAGTAAAATTTAATTTTAATTAATTTTTAAATTTTATTTAATTCTACAGCTTCAACCGGTTAAAATGAGCATCATAGGAATGAAAGTAAAACTGTCATTCATACATCACAAATTGAGTGACAATGGATGGATTTGATAGGTATTTTTTTAATCCTGTTTATATGTAAGAACGGAAATGACGTTTCTGTCCCAGGTCCACTTTTCAGCGTGGATCGGGTTTAATTAATTATTGTCAATCTCTGATTAGAGTATATAAATAATTTAATATGACCTAAGGGTTCTAGGTCTCTTGAATGTTCTTGGCTATAGCAGGTGTGAAACAATGAGTACAGAATAGTTTACTCACTAAATGGTTAATACAGTAGGCACTAAGAGTTACAGTACGATATGAGGGATAGATATGGCCTGCTCGATAGAGAAGCTTATCGGGGGCCGGAGCGTAGTTTAGATATGTAGACGCTCCGAGGTCTCTACTACAACTGACTGCTGGCATTCCTGATGTGCTTGAAGAGCTATGTGGGTCCGCCCGCGTCGTAACGTAAACCACGTACGACAAGACGTACGATATTGGGATAGTCACTGAAGGTGACGATGCGTGAATCCTGGACACGTCCCCACTCCCCCCTTACAACTGGGAGCGTCCTCGTTCCAATAATACTGAGCAGGGAACGTTAACAATATACATTACATTAAAATTTTAGGAACAAGGTTCTAAACGACTTACATTATTACATTCCAGCTAAGTCAACTGACATTAGCAGATAGCATAGCAAGCAAAGTTAGTACTAATAGTAGTAGCAAACTACTATAAAGTTACTACTAATAGCAAGGTTAGCAACTAGGAAACATCCCTTAATTATTATGGAGTTCATCTTCAGTCTTCTGGCTTCTGATGAACTTCTTTCTTCATGTCTCGTGCCAAGAAAGTTTTAGAGAGAGAAAGAAAATAAACATAGGCATTAGTTTACATAGTAGAAAACAATGTAAAAGTCTTTTTCCCAGATATTTTAATTGAACTCTGGTTGAGTGGATCATTTCAGATTGATATTGTATAATTACGTTACTTTACTTGAATTGGACAATTGTCAGTCAAATTGACGATTTTAGTCAAATCATTGAGACGGGGTTTACAATTAGCCCATTACACATATTATACATAGATAAAGCATAAGAGTACAATGATATATATCATGAATACATTACAATTCAATGATTTAAGTTTTACAATGAAGTTTTTATTCGAAGGATTGAGCAACATTATAGCACATTTACCTTCTTTAACATTCACAAGAGCAGATGCTACTAATATTTTATTGATGGCATTTTTGTTAACACAATATGTGCCATCGGGAATTTTACGACAGTTAACTGTCATGACAACATTACTACAGGCATGAATGACTGTTTCAGCATTTGCGTGTAAGTAAATTTTTCGATCGAGCTGGTTATCGAGTCGAGTCAGGTCGATTTTGCTGTCATTGTTTTCAGTGACTGTGAGCTCGGAGAGCAAGGTCGAGGCATCATGCACACTCTCAGGCATCGCAACTGGCGTCTCGCCGTCTGGTGTGTGTGTGCGTTTGTCACAACTGTCGGTCTGTACTTGCGCGTGAACGTCATGATTCACGTCGATGTCTGCAACTCTACCCGTACAGTTAGAAACGTTGTCTTCGTTATCTATGGTAGAATGCAGTTTAAATACGACTTTATTATTCCTAAAGTCGATGATCGCCTTTGATTTGACAAGCAGATCAGTTCCGATCAGGATTTTACATGGAAAACTACTTTTGTCTTCGACAACAAGCGCGTTTAATTTAATAATTTTCCCATTGGGTAACTGGACTTTCAGTTCAGTTTCACCTTTAACAACGATTTCATCACCCGTAGCGGAGAGAGCGGTAACGTTAGACGGTTTGATGTGAACGTGTTCACTAACCGCACTAATTTTAATAAGTGTAATGTTACTACCGGTGTCCAAAAAACTTTCTATCTCGCTATTGTTGACAAGGAGTTTTACGATTGGTATGCAAACTTCGTCGCTATTACCATGTTCATCGTATAAATCGAGACAAGTTTGCACCTCGTTTACAACAGAAAGCGAACATGTTTCTCATTCATGAGCAACATTGTTTAACTTTGCAAGATCACTAGCAGGAGAATTAAGAGCAGCAGTACAATCAGTATCTGCGACATTGGAAATATCATTCACATGACTGCTATCAGCAATATTATTAGAGAATACATCAATGAGAGCGGGGTCAGAATTAGAACTGAAATGTTCAATTCTTGATTCTAACCTTACAGGATTAATAGTCGGACTCTCCTTAGGATGAGTCTTTTTTTGCGTTG